TTTACATAAAATAAATGTAGCCAGAAATTAACCAATCATTTAACTTTTCAATCTAATTAACTATAAGCAATGTAGTTTATTAAGTTTGTTTTTTAGGCAAAAAGCCATGGAATGGTGGAATAAATGCCTGTGTCAGTGAAAAGCGTTAACATGGTAGTAAAAAGACAATTAAATTAGTTAGATGTGTAACTATTAAATTTCCTTTTTCAAATAGAAATTCATCCATTTTCCTAATTGTTTATCACTTATACATCTTAAAGTAAAATAACCTGAGAACAACATGCATTGTTTAAATGGACAGGCCTTGCAATATTCTTTTACTGTCATGCAAACATATTCAAATCTGCAAGCAATGCCATGAAACCATTCTAGCAGAGGCTTTGGTTGATTATCAATTTCTTCCGTGTGCAAACTGCTTTAGGATTGTGGAAGATACTATAGAAATTTTTATTTAAGGATTTCTTATTTGAAGTTATTTTATTTAAGGATTTCTTGACGTGTACATAAATTGCGAGTTTAATGCCTTAAAACAGTTCAATGCTTTAAAACAAGACCTGATGTATTTGTGATCAAGAAGACATTGGTCTTAGAGTATAACTCATAAAGCTATTTTACAAATGTTTGATAACTTATAAATAATAAATAAAAGATTTGATGTCTAAACCATATTTTTTTTTTTTCATTTAGTTTTTTGAATGCACTACTCATTTAAAATAATTCAAGCGATCATATGTAAACATGAAATTAAATACTCATTTTTTAACTTGTTCAATTATTCAATAAGCAAATTCAAATTATTTTATTCAAACTAAAATGAAATATAATACAAATGAAATAATTTTTATATTCAGGCTGTCAAGCAGCAACTTTTGAAAAAAATGACAAAAAATGACGGTATTTTAAAGTTAAAAATGACAAAAAATGACAAAAAAATGACTGATTTCATTATAAAAATGAAAAATTCAATAAGTTTATTTAGAAAATAACAAACAAAATAACAAACAAAATCATCCGTCATCAATAATTTCTTTTAAAAATGAAAATCTCAACATCTTTTTGTTGTTTAACATGCAATAAAACGTTTTTCTAAAGTCTAAAGTAAATTAAAATAAATAAATTTTGCTAACTCATTATAACTGAACCAACAGTTCAAGCTCTATTATATTTACAAAAATTTTCAAACTTTTAACGACTACTTTAATTTTTTGAAACACTTAATCTATTCATTTCACTTTTACATTTTAAACCAATATTTTTTCTCAACTTTTTCAGTTCATTTCTATGAAATGTAGCATTTTCAAGACTTTTTTTTGTGCTGTTTACCATTTCATGGGCAATTTTTATACCCATCATGTCTTCCTTAATAATGGCACTTTGCATAGATTTTGCTGCTTCATCGAGCATTCTCTGAGCAAGCTGAAATTCAAGATCTGCATTTTTTTCATCATTCTCTAGACTTTTTTCCTGTTGATCTAAATTTTTATTGCGATTTTCAACTTTTTTAAGCATTTCTTTCTGTTCTTTTTGTTTATTCATTAGCTCATGAATATAATTTTTTCTTTTTTCTTCGTCTTCTTCAGCTTTTCTTTTTTTATATATTTTATGAGCATTTTGTACAGCTTGAACAACATCTTTAGAGAGTGCATCAACATTATATGCTCCTCTGCAACTTCTTGCATATTCTTATGATATTCTCAAAGCCATTGTTCCATCATTTAGATTTACTCTATCAGGAGTCAATATATTTTTGTTATCTGATAAACTTCATTTAGCACTGGCATTTCCATTCTGAATTGCTAAACAGCTCTTAACAACTTTACTGAGATACCCATACTTAGTTTTTCCATATTCATTGTTACTTTCGAAAACTTTAGCCCAATAATGGTCTATATACCAGTCTTTTAATATATTAGCTGCTTTCTATAATACCCATTCATCTTTCACAAATGATACCTGCACAAAAATCAAGATATAATTGTCATGAAAGTTAAAATTAAAGGAAAATTAAAATTTAAAATTATAATTTAAAATTAAATTAAAGGAAAATTAAAATAGCAGAGTCAGTTAACTAATAATTTACAAACAACAATTTCTAATTTGTAAATTAAACTAATTAGAAAATTTTGAATATATATATATATATATATATATATATATATATATATATATATATATATATATATATATATATATATATATATATATATATATATATATATATATATATATATATATTACAGTTATTTAATATAAAGTTATTTAAATATTCACCTCCCTTTCCGTGATTACATGTGGCATCATAACTGCTATTCGCCCAATTGCATTAACAGTCCAAGGTTCTGATCTCATTTGAGCACCCAAACAAGTCATATTTTTTAATATTGAATCAAGTGGAAGTTTTTTTTGCAAGTGTTTTACAACAGCTATATATCCATCTCTCATTTGCTGTAAGAAGACATATCTTTTTTTTTCACATGACATTTTGTTCACCTAAAGCATATTTATATTGAAAACGACAAAATCAATATAAAAGATCCATTTTTTTTCTTTGTTGTGAAGTAGTTGTTTCATCAAACATTAAAATGAATGCACCTTGACTTAACATGATACTATTACATAAATGCTTCTCCAATTCTCGCAAAATATATGAAGCTTTTTACCGATTCATAGTAAAAACTTGACTTATTTTACTATCTGGAAACATTCTTTGAAACAATATTGGTGTGTTGTCACTATGTCTGAAAACAAGATCATTCTCTGCCACTTTAAAAAGCCACATGGCTTCTGCAGCAGAAATTTTTTCATTTACAGAGAACTAACTTTTTCCCCCCCAATAGAGTTTTTGTTAGAATCTACATATAAATGATGAGCAGTTTTTGAAAATCTTAGATCAGACAGTGACTTATGTTTAGGTTTTGAAGAATGCTGATATAGTGCTTGGAAACCAACTGAACTGAATTTTAAATCACTTTTGCATAGTTTACAGATAGCATATTCAGAGTTTCTTTTTTCAGCCCATAATTGGATTTTCAATAGATTTTTGTCTAACTTTTCCAACCACATGTCATTCCACTTAACCATTATACTATATAATCTATTGATAAATATACTAAAAACTAAATATAAAAATCACTAACTTTACTAATACTAAAATATATTATGATTTATTTTTTTAAATAATAACACCACTTTAGCAATACAAATGGATAATTAAATTTAAAATGTGAACATAAAAGATTGTAACTGTTATTATAAAATACTTTTGAAAACTAATTAAAGTAACAAAACGTCAATAACAACTTAGAAATATCAAAAACAGCAATTTTAAGTATTTAAAAAAAACTTTAAAGTGTAAAAAAATTCAAGAAAAAAAATGACAGAAACTAACAAAAAAAATGAAAAAAAATCAAGAAAAAAAAAAAAAGAACCAAAAAAAAAATGAAAAATATGACGACTTGACAGCCTGCCTTATTTCATAGCTCAAATGTTGATTATTCTATACATTTAAGCAAATTGCTTAATTTAAGAATTAATTAAAATCACTAATAGATATAATTAAAACGTTCATAATTGTATTTAAAATTAATAAATCCTTTTTAAAACGATTAAACTAAAGGTATCAAACTATTACAAGGTAGCTTGGAACTATTACAAGGTAGCTTGGAACTATTACAAGGTAGCTTGGAACTATTTCAAAGTAGCTTGGAACTCATTAACTATTACTAACTATAAAGTATTTTGAAACTCAGTATACTGTTTATTAAAGTTGTTACTAGTTAAGCAGAATTTAAAAAATTATTTTTAATTAAAACCAGATAGAATTGGCATTCAAAACCAGATAAAAAGGTTTTTATATTTATATAAAAATAAAATTAAAAGATCACGATTTCCAAATTTTTATCTAAACAGATTTTTATTTATATATAGTGTTAATCTTATAGCTTTTTTAATTTTTAACACATTTACTAAAAAATGTTTTTTATCCTAATTTTTGAAAGAAAAAAAAAAAAATTTAAATTATCTGGTTTTATAAGCCCGCTCCTATGTTAATAAAAACTGATAAAAGTTGAAGTTGATAATAATGTGATGGAAATCTTAGAATGATGAATCTTACTTGCATCGCCTATAACATAATTCTAAAACCGACCAATTCATTTTCTTACATTTATCACAAACAGTGTGCTGTAAAAATACAAAAGTCTTAACTTTTTAACTCGTCTTTACTATTGCCTTATTTTGTCTAGTATAAACTTTAATTATTTTTTTTTAGTATAAGTCTTCGTTATTTTATTTAGTACAATCAGACTTTCATAGGAAAGTGTGCGATTTCATGTCTTTATATGACCACGCAAAAAATAATATGTTTTAATGATTTGACCAGGGTTTTTAACATATTTTCAAAATTTAAAAATGCGCTACCAAAAACTTACCTAAACTTATCTAAAAAAAAATTGTAAAAAGAAAAAAAATCTTAACGAAAAAGAAAATAACAAAAAATACTTAGTTAAAGCAAAAACACAAAAAAATAAATATATATATAATGCAACTAAAACAAAACTCATCAAACTAAAATGCTTAGTCTATTTAATTTACGCATTAAAAAACCATTTCAACCTTTGTTCTCAACATTTGTATATATTTTTTATTTATTTAATGTTTCAAAACTTGAAAAAAATTTCAGTAAATTGTTACTCTATTTAAAATTGTTTCGCTAATATAAAAACATTTTTTTAGAAGTTTTGATGTAAATCATTTCAATTTTTAAGAATATTTTTTATTTAGCGTATTTTCAAACCGTCATAGAAAATGTAATTTGCATGGTCATATAAAGACGTGAAAGTGCACGCCTTCCTATGAAAGCCTGAGTACAATGTACAATTCTATAAATGTACAGTACAATTCTATAAATAAACAAATGTTTAGTATAATTAATAATTCTATAAATGAACAAGTGAAAAATAAAAAATTTGAACAAGAAAAAAATTAAAAATAAACATTAC